GGGGCGGGGGACCTTTGACGTCTTGAGGAACTCGAGGAGCGCCTACCGCACCGCCCACGGGACTGAACCCACACTGGGTTCGGTACTCTGGAGGTGCGGTACGGAGCCCGAGCCGCGCCTCGAGCGAGCCGAGGGTCGACGCCATCGCGTAGACGCCGAGCCCGCCGTTCACTTCGGACGCCGCCTTAGCCAGCTTGTTGAGGTCGCCTATCCGACACGTCTCGGACATGTCGTGGACGTGCCGTGGACGTGTCGCCGCCTTGGCCGCAGCTCGTTGAGGTCGCCTAGGAATGACTTGGTACCGATCTGCACCTCCGTGCCGCCGCAGTGCCTCGGCCGGCTTTGTCTACAAGCTCGCCCATCGCGTCCTCCTTGAGCACCTACAGAAAAGAAAACACGGCTGGAAGAAAGAAAAGAAGACGAGCCCGTCGCGTCCTGCTTGAGCGCCTCGAGGTCGTACGGCACGTCCTTGAACGGGACGAGGCAGGCGGAGCCCGCCACGACGTTCTCGAGGTGGTTGGCGCAGATCTTGATGCCGGCGGCGCCGTCGATCTCCTGGTGGCCGAGGTGAGCCGAGGTGAGCCGAGGTGAGCCGAGGTGAGCCGAGGTGAGCCGAGGTGAGCCGAGGTGAGCCGAGGTGAGCCGAGGTGAGCCGAGGTGAGCCGAGGTGAGCCGAGGTGAGCCGAGGTGAGCCGAAGTGGAGCCGAGGGGAGGCCGAGAGGAGCCAAGGTGGAGCCGAGGTGAGCCGAGGGGAGCAGCCGGGAGGGGCGGTCGGGCTCCTGGTGGTGGAGGTAGTCGGCCTTGACGCGCAGCTCGCGCAGCGGGCGAGGCGTGAGCAGGTCGCGCACGCGCGTGACGACCGGCCCGCCAAAGCCGCACATGACGATCCGGTCCCCGCGCTTGAGAGTGCCGTTGGCGAGGATCACCTACGGGGGCACACGCCTCGGACGTGTCGTGGACGTGTCGTGGACGTGTCCGCCTGCAGCCGCGGCACACCTAAGGACATGTCTCGGACATGTCGTGGACGTGTCGTGGGCGTGTCCGCCCCGCGCCCCGTTTGCGAGGGTCACGTCGGCGGTCGCGCCGAGCCCCTCGATCACCTTGACCTCGAGTACGGTGCACTGCACCATCGGCGTCCACCTGTCGGGACGTGTCCTGGACGTGTCCCGGACGTGTCGCGGAGGTCGGCGCGGCACTTCGCCATCGGCGTCCACATGATGCGGTCCACAAACATCTTTTGCGTCATGCCCACGAGGTTCATCAGGATGTCGGCCACCCCTTCGCCCGTGTGTGCTGACGTCGGGACGAGGGAGATGTACCTAAAGCCGGTGATGAGTCAGGAGCCAATGAGGAGCAATGAGGAGCGGGTTGGCTTCCCGACGTCCGGACGAGGGTGGCGCACTCGCGCGGGTCCTTGTTGCGGTAGTAGAGCTGCGCGTTGAGGCCCTGCAGCGCGGCGGAGAGGGAGGCGGAGGAGTGAACAACGGCTCAGCTGCTCCGTTGCGGCGCCTGGGCCTCTGCTCGGCGATAGAGAGGTGGGAGAGT